GAGAAGAACTTATTCGTTATAAAATACAGTATATAATTGTAGTTTTGTATAATCATTCAAATCGTAAAGTGACATAAGTACATTGTTGATGAAAATTTACGATTTGAAAAATGGTCGAAGTATTAAGTAAAGCATCTTTAGAACATGTTTTATTAAGCATGAAGATATATAATATATACATATGAGTTCTCACTCACGAGTGTGAGACTAGCCGATCGAAAATATCAAGTGCGGGAATAAATATCCTCGTCGCGCGTATTTCGTTTGAAATTTCTCACAGTATGTCTACCGAAGAATCTGAGAATGATCCCCTTAGGGTCAGGGACCGGGTGCGGGAAGTACCATATCGCGAAATCTACCGACGAGCAGCAGCAGCAGCAGCAGCAGCAGCAGCAGCAGCAGCAGCAGCAGTAGAAGCAGTAGCAGTTCGAGGTTTGAGGTTCGCAGACTCTCGTCGTCGTACGGGGACGGTATTGGATGTCATCACGAGAGAGATTACGTGCGGCTTTGAAAGAGCCCCCCCTATCTCACTTCCACTTCCATTCACCCTTCTTCCTTCGCTCTTCATCCACCAGCTTCGATTCGCGCGTCGCTATTTCAGCTACCCTACTTCCTCGCCGTTCGCGCGATGCGCGACGCACCTTCAGTGTGTTCCCCCTTGCCCCTTCGGTCCTCTTCAGCAATTCGGTCGGGAAGAACCCCCGTACTGAAGGGCGCCAGCTCTCATATCCCATTTGCCCCTATTTTTCATAAGCGATATTAGAATCTATCATCGGAGCCCGACCAGACGCTCGCCTTCGCTCTAGAAACGACAGCTTTACGAAGGTGGTAGGTATCGATAAAAAAGATAGATAGATAGAGAGGGAAAGAAAGACTCCCTCCCCCTTCATCCCGATTATCTGCAAGGTGGGGTACCACGATCGCTGACGATTATCGATCCCATTGGAGCGGCGACGTGAATGGATCCAGACTTGTGCCGATCGCAAAGACCGCTATGCTCTCGACAGCGGAGAACGGCTGAGAGTCGAGCTGCCCTATATATTATCGCAGTTGCCGCGATATTTCATTCATCGCGACCTCTCGATCTCCACCCTTCTTCCCTGCTCAGTCGATTTTCAATTGCGGGCATGCGCTCCTCGCGCGATCTCAATAACGTTTCCATCTCCTCACCCCCACCGCGTTAGCAAAGTGCCGCATAAAAATTTCTTAGACGCGTCTATTTTATTTGAAATTCGAAGGCTTTTAATCTTGACGACCTTCCACTTCTACAACTTAAGTTTTGGTAAGAATATGAGGAGTACGCTAATTGGATTTATGGAATCTTCGTTGTTCCATGAATTGGCCCCTTCTCACTCTCTCACGCAAAAAGGAGCGTATACGGAGATAGACAAAAATAAAAAATTTGAAGATCAAAAGATTAAAGAATGAATTAATTGATAAAATGAATTGTTATTACAATTATAAATCTATGATATTCATTATCACAAAGATGGTTTCAGTTGATTAAATCGACCCATTAGCAGGTTAATATATTATTAAACTTATCTGACGATTGATTAAACATTAAATTTTCTGAGAGTGATTTTTGTTTTTCCAATTTATTATTGACACATATACATATGTAATAACTTATACATGAGCATTTCATTAGCATTGTGCCAAATTTTTTGCATCAAATTAAACAGATCTCTTGTCTTTCATATAAAAATATGGAGTTAATAGATATATACAGTTTTAAAAATTAATTGCAAGATCGCAATGGAAAACAAAATTTACGACCATTAATCATTTCATAAATGTAAGGAACTTTTAACTCAACGTTTAATCTCTTGAGGTTTCAAACGCAATAAGGATTACTTTTTTAACATGCTCTTTTTTCATTTTGTTCCTAATCACGCGTTCCTTCATGCTTCGCAATAAGTTCTTCTATGCGACTATCGATCCGCGTGCCATGAATTCGCAAAATGCCGTCACGATTTGTGTAGGCAGCACATATCCGGAAATTTATGTTATTTATCTTCCCCCGTATTTACCGCGGCTTGCGATTTACCGTGATTACTAATTATAGCTTCAACTCGGGCTCGTTAATTACCTCCGCGCTGGCGGAATGGCGACATTATTGACTCGTTAAATAGGATAGTTTCAGACGTATTTCTGACACATTTGCACGCAATAAAATTGCAACGGTTTTTTCGCAATAATGTGACATGTTAAAGAAAGAAACGAAACGAACAGTGTTATTACTTACCTCTATGCCTGTTAGTTTGCTTGTCGAACATCAGCATAGCATCTTCGATCTGAAATGCAAAAAACATTTGTTTAGAGAAATAAAGCTTTAATCAAATAAACAATATACATTTTTAAAAAATTTAAAAACAAATAAATTTATTTACAGATTTCATATTTATTTACAGAAACATATTAAGAATTCTTTAGTAGATGCCTCTTGAGCATCAAAATTTAAATGTGATATTATTTCATCAGTAGTGTGTAGTTTAACTACGTTTTTAAGTCCGATATAAAATATCGGCGCGCAATTCAAAATGATTAAAAATGCAGAATTAGGTGGTAAACTTAATTTCTGCCGTTTTTCGTCTCCAAAATTTTTCCCATGGCACGCAAGCGTTTTGAGACAACCATTGGAATAACATTTGATACTTTTGACAACTCTAAAAGGCGCTTCGAACTTTGAGCTGATCTTCATCAAGCAATTCTCGACATCTTCAAATTTTTTCGGCTATCCGGGATGTTCTTTATCTCTCAGATCAAAATCACTGTTTCAAAAGTATTCAAACCAAACTCTATATGTGCTTTCTTGATGGAATTTCATCAGCATACACTTCGAATAACAAGCGATACGTTTCAGCTGCGGTTTTCTTGAGGTCAAAGTAATGAAGATGCACATGTCGGAAAAGCAGTTTATCGCAGTTCATTTTCAATCGATTGGAAAATCTCTTTGGTGTTGAGAAATCTAACTTGTGAGGACTGAATCACTTTTAGCAATGTCCTAACTACAAAAGATATGCGATGTCACAGTTTACCGTCGAAACTGATCGGCGTTGGAGCCAGCACCCTCCAGAGAGCGGCAACAATTAAGTTTACCATCTAATATACAAGTAGTTTAAACTTCTATATTGATTTTCTTTAATTTACATGCTGTTTATTAGCATTTATAAATTTATATACCTTTTTTAATTTAGTTTATATTGATTAACTTTCAAGTTTATAGTTTTTTCTTTATGGTGGTATTTTTTCATAAGATAAGATCAAATCAGAATTATATTGTCGGATAAGGAGTATGGTAAACGTGCAGCTTTAGTAAAGTATCTTATTTACTAAAGCCGCTGTCATAAATTAAGCGGCTTACTGACGATCGAAGTAACCTATATTTGATATAAGACCTCGTAGTAAACCCCTTGGCGTGTTAGAGGTGCAAAGCACCCCTGTCAAAGCCTCAGAAATAGTAAACGCCGTTATGGAAATGTCTTGCAATACATATATAAAAGATATTTCCAGGAAACTTCATCTCAGTGTGACGAATAGAAGAGAACATTGTATGTATATCGAATATCGAATACTTTTGACAAATCATTTCGTACTAATGATAAATATCTAACAACATATATCTGTAAATAGAAAGTCTAATGCCTAAATTTTAAGCAGAATCGTAAGGCTCGTAATATATTTCTGTAAGCTTGTAAGAATTTTTAAAGTGCTTTAACCTTTATTTTTACAAACGGCGTCTTACTAACCATAAAATTTACAAGAAATCGTATATATTTACGAGTAATGATACGTCTTACGATATATACGCATAAAATTAGAATAATAGTCATAAGTTCTTACAAGTTTTACGAGAACACGTTAAGAGTCTTACGATTCTGCTTAGAACTGACTAATTAACGTCTAGGATTAATATTTTCTTCTGCGGTAAAATCATCAACTAATCGTCTTTCTTCATAAATTGTATAAACATTTAAAAATGAAATTTCTTAAAAATAATTGTGATCATCTAACAAACTTATGACGATATTATTAATTCATGTAATATGGTTACACTATGTACAAATCAAATTACGTATATTATTAATTGTATGTAAAGTTAATATTATGCAGCTATCGTATAATTATTATATGAGTTAATCACACATAACATTATCATAAATTATGATCAGTACTACAACTAATAGCCTAGAATAAAAAACTATCGATTTCTTAACTAAAATATTAAAAGTAAGAATTAACGAAGATTTAGAGATACAATATTCACACCAATTAAATAAGATTACATTTTCTCCTTGGAACTACTAATACTAAATAATAAGTGTTATTAGTTAGTCGAGGTTACTGTGTTCGAAACGACAGCAAATTTGCTCATCAAAGGATATCGTCAGTAAGATTGATTTTTAAACAATTCCAACGACGTCAGTCAAATGACGAATAAGATCTCTCGTATCTTTACGAGAACCGCGTGTGTATCGTAAAGCACAGCTGGTCAGAGATTTACGGAGCATGTTCCTGAGACGAGAAGTTGGTAGAAAGTGGCGAAGGGCGGATGGCTCTGTATATGGTTAAAGCGCGAGCGGAGCTCTAGAGAGGCGTAGGAAGCGCTAGTAGGATTTATGGGACAGGAGAAACAATAGGGATTACTCTTACCCCCTTCGTTATTCCTTCAGTTGGCTCCTTCTCACTCTCTCGCGCAACAACAACTATCGATAGTCTACAGCATTAGAACAGCAAGCGATATTCTTCTTCTGGCGCGATGTTTGAGTAAAAGACATATAAACTTTCATATGTACTCAATAAATGTATTGTATTTTCTAGATATACACGTTTCATGTTTGTGCTTTAAATGTAAATAATTTTACATTTTTTAAGATACTCTAATTATAATTAAATTTAAGTAAGAACCTCTTTTTTCCTTCCAGAATAAAACGAGATACCGTATGAAAAACTACGTCGGAATTTACAATTTATTACGTACGTATATAAGTTTATATATAATATAATTATTAATATAATATTATGATATAATTATTAAAAATGTTTATATATAATATGAAATGATTCAAGATAAATTAAATGAGAAGAATAATAAGACTAAGTCGCGCGAATGAAAGCGACTGATTTACAACAATTACAAACTTATTTTGATGGGCATCCATAAATACTAATAAAAGCATTAATATCATTTTGATTGTATTTTGGTAGTTGGTTGATTTAGTTTACTGATTAGTTGATAATTAATAAATGTTAAAAGCACGTAGCAATAACGCTTGTCACGTTTCCGTTCCGTCCTCTCGTCTTGCTGTGTAATAAAATTTTAATGAAATTCGCGCGACGATCGCGCCGCTGTCTGTGGCAAGAAAGTCGCGGAAAAATGCCAAGGGAATCGAGTGTCTTAGCTGACATTTGTTGCGACTTTTATTTTTCGAGGGGTGGCATGCCTTTTACGAGGGGGTTGACGGCAGCGGGAACAAGAACAAGGGAATGGGCGATCTTTTAATGAAAACGCAAGAGGCATCATGGCGTAAGATAAGACCGCCAGCGGAGGAGCCATCCGTCGTTATCTACACCTTTCCACCCTTTTCTTTTGCACAGTGTGGATGTCCTTTCATTATTCCTTAATGCTGCAGTCTTTGTTGTGGCTGTTATATTGATGTATTCTCGACGGTCGAATCAGTTTGAGTCTTCCATTCGATGTTGCGAATTCTCGCATTGCCTTCAGCGACAATGGCTTCGATCAAGAACGAGATTTCTCCATTCCGATCACTACGTGAGAAAAATACGTGAGGTTCTTTCTATATCGACTTCGTTAGCATTTCACTCAAACGGAAGCATTTTTGAATCTTTGCATTTGCCAGTCTCTTTTAATGGTTTTTTTTTTTAATTTGTAAAGTTTTTTTTATATGCTCACACGTTCAACAACGTGTTGTTGTCTTGATCTTTAAGCTACAATAGATGAAATCATTCTTCTTCCAAAACAAACTATAGTTACTTCGACTGAACGTGTTCACTAATGACTCCCCCCTTTTTTTTTCACACGGAGATCTTCGCAAACTGGCAATCATGAATTTCCCTCATTATCTCGAATAATTATCGCGGGTCGCAATGCAGTTTTGCGGGTTTCACGTGTATCGTTGCATTACGAGTATCTATTTCCTGCGATATGTAATATTCAGCGCGCGGCACATTATGCATCCACGTATTTACTTCATTAAAAATACATTTCCCGGATGTGTTTAATATTGATTCTATATAAATTAATATAATTATCGTACGGTGCATTACCAGTAACGTCGAGTACGAGAGATAAGCGAATATTATATAAAACGTTTGTTATTTTACGCTATATTTTGTCGTTTACGCGCGATCTGATTTTCTGCATGATAAATTTTCTTTTTTCTCTCTAATGATTTCTATATTACATTTTCCTTAATAAATTGAGATTATCTTGATGGTTTCTTTATAAATATAGTAAAAATATGTACTAAAACCAAGAACAAATATTTAATACATTTAATATATATATA